CTTTAACTAGTTTAAAAACTAAAACAAATTAATTAATGATTATCGAATAAAACTTACATAATAAGTATTGTAATCAAAGAAGAGAAAGGGCACTGTTTTACAGAAGTACCAACAGAGTAAGGACGAGTTAGTCAACTATTATTATATAGTATGTAGTATGCAAAAGTATATTCATCTACTGACAAAAACTGCCACTACCGCCGCCGACAAGGGGTACATTCATGTCAGTCATGTACCTTACAAACATCTACATGTTTACAGGGCGTACAACACAGGGGACTACACAGGTGACACGGTAATATTGATATCTGAACTACTTAGACGAGTGTGAACAAAGGCCGGATACCAAAGCATCGAGATTTGATACGTGACGGTAACATTATATCGAAACGCGATACTTTTTTATAAGATCATGTATCCCACAAACATTCGATACGGAGTATAAAATTGTCTTGTCATGATCAGATCGTTTTTAAAACAAACCTTGATTACAGACCATTACATATCGCTTGATAGACAAAATATTTCTGGCCAATTTTCTATCAAACGCGTGTTGATTTATAGTCTAAAATCTAGCGGTGATTCAGGACCGTAGTTATTGAACACATCCACTCCGTGTTCATGTTTGATTTTAACGGGATATACGGTCAATGTTTGATAAATTTGTCGTAGTAAAACGAAAATCATCACGTGAACAAATTGTTCTGCATATCAATAACTCTAGTTTCACTTTATGTTCATTTCATTTTTATTTATTAAATTTGAAATAAACTCACAACGGTATCAGTGATATTTCTGAAATAGATAGATGTCTGATGATATCGATAACAGTCATTCATTAATGTAAAAGTTTATCAAATAACTCTACTTTGCCATAATTGTAGTAAAAAGTATACAAATCAATATTTTATATCACGGAATGAGATAATAACACAGAAATCATCCTTCAGAAATGACAAAGAGAAATAATGAGCAAGAACTGGAAAATTAGACAAAGAAACGAGTCTAGAAAGTAGAGATATTTTTGTAAGGTACAACAGTCCCTACATTAGTAATACAATTTAATATTGAATTCCTCGAATGTATTCCTAGTGGGTCGGTACCCTGTCTTTAGCATTCCAGTGATTTTAATGCCTTCTGCAAAAATGTGTATCAAGTTCAAAATATTTTTGAACTGACAGTCAAATATGTTGCTGTAGTAAACAATAGGTTTGCTCGCTGTCGATATAATGTGAACGAGTTTGGTGTTTTGCTTAGTATTTTCCACAGTGTATTGCAGTATGATAGCACTACAAAGTCGGCGTTAGTTCCGCTCTTTCACAAGGAGACTTACAAGAACATATCACAGCCTTATATTTAAAACATGCACTCTTGAACAAACATAGGGACGCCGTCTTATCAAATGCCCTGCAGGTAGACCGTAAGAATTGCACCTGCTGAGATCGACTATTTTTCCATCCGAACACCTCACTTGACAACGTCTCACTTTCAACCCGTTTGTTGAGTGTTTGCCGACTCGAGGAAATTCTAACCAGACTTTAACACTGTTAATTCACTGCACTCGGCTTTACATTAAGCTGTAAGGTATGTGGTACCTGTAAGGACTGGTAAGTTTGTTGAAATTATTGCCTGTCCATATCACGATATTTCAGTGTGATAACTCTATACAAACGTCCATCAGTAGCCCCATCATCAATTTACGCCGTTTAAAAACAGTTTGCCATAAACGGAATTTGAGTCTTGGTTGTGAACGTACTAGCATACCAGAATTCTATCTCTCTTTATATGCCCAATAGCTAATGATTTTAGATGGACTTTATATTTGTGACATACTGGAATACATATTTTCCAGTGACATTGACGTTGCTGGTATATCAGTAGATACTGGTTCACATTTCCAGTATTTTGCTTAGCGATTAGGAAAGTTCGTAGAAGTAAATCTGAAGATTGTGCTCAATTCACAAACGTCAAATTGTTTACAATGTAAGTAAGATGCAGTAACAATGCCCGGGGAGGTTATAACAGAGCTACTGAGTTTACGTATGGAACTCGGATGGAAGTAATATTTATAGTCATGCTAATGTTGAAAACACAATTCGTTAAACTGTTACACACGGGTTCTGATCACATGAAATCTCTTTGTAAATAAGTATCGTACGGAACATCTTTGTCATGGTTTACCAGGGATCGGTATTTGGACAAAACTTTCTGATGATGACGATGTTTGATTGTTGTACGTGTTGATTAAATGTGTAAAAGTAGAAGATCTCATCTAAAAAATATCGGATTGATTTTGTCAGAAAATAAGCAAAGCAGTTATTTTATTACGAGTTGTTCCCCTTCGATTACGGCTGTATCAGTCACAGAACCACATGATCTACAACTTCCGGTAATCTTTTTTCATTAAAGGCAAATTTTATGTTTTTCATACCCCGAGCCTTACATAAAATACATAACCATTTTAATTTCTTGCGGAAATATAAAATCTGAACGTATTTCATTTCGGAGTTAATAGTTTTTAAAGAAGTAACTAAGCTTATCTATCAATCGGTGACTACTTAGTTTCATAACTTTATTTACAAAACACCTGTTGATAGCGATATTTTGACTCGTTTTTATTATGATATTCAATAACAAATTTAATGACTCTTTATCCAAAACTCAACTTGAACACTGGAGTCGATAGCCATGCCATTCTGTTCTTATCGTTGCCCCCGCCGTTCCTCGGGCGTACACCACGAATCCATTGTAAATGTATCTCCTATAGGCACGCTTGCGTCACGAGACGAGGTCAGAGATCAGTTTTGGCTGAATACCACGTGACATACTGATGTCGTGGGAAAGGAGCCCATATTTCTGACCCGGAACCCTTCGATACACTTTTGCAATTCAACAGACGAATTGATTTAAATCAGTCATGCACACACGTCAGTTGAGAGGGTCTGTGTATGAAGTTTCAGGAAAACTTGATAACTCAATTACAACATATCTGATATTTCTTCTGTGGTGGTAAACGCCGATAAAACGCCATGAAATAAGGTTGTGTATGGCGTTAAAGAAATTAACTTTCATTAGTCGTTTTAAATTGGCGTTGGGATATCGGAGCTGTATAGAGTCGCTTACACAAGCAAGCCACGTACATCTACTTATTTCTTTTGGGTGTAATTCGTTCTAAGTTGTTTACTTGTAAAACGATAGAGGCGTACAAGAAGTACCTAGCTTGCAAGGCGTACGTATATATCCTGGGTTTGGTGTTATAAAAACTATTATCAATGATCTCTCCTGCCATCTAAAATCAGCGTAATTGGTACAAGATTGGGCTTCTTGTGGTGTTTCACGGAGCAGACCGTAATAATTTGAATATCTAACGAGCGATATGTAATCAACCTGTTGTGGGAGAGAGAAAGGAGCTGCTCACACAAATTTTATCTCTCCGTAACGTGTAGCACGCGCGCGACTCGTGATCCTGACAATTTGATGAAAGTACGCGCGCCGTATAATCACAGCAACACGCACTTGTTGCAGCTTTGTGTACTGAACATAACATATTGTAATGAGTTGTTCTGATATTGCTATGGTCTGCTCGACTTATCATCGTATTGTGATCATGATGCCTAGCAGAAATCCTGCTTTTGTATAACGTATCGGACTGTCACGAATGGTAAACAATAAAATATAGGACGAAAGAGCTGCGAAAGATTCCATAACTCAGACGGAATTGATTTGCTACAACTGTATCACTTTTTTTACATGTCATATTTCAGATATTCTCCAAGATCTTTGGTCCACGCTGGGCGAGAACACTTTTTTATAACCTATCATCTGTCCTTAATATTGTGTGAAATAGTAGTTTTCTTAAAATGCTAATAAAATCGTGAACAAAATTTAAGATATTTGCTCCTGTTTGAAGCGAGTTCAATCGTTGCTGGTGTTTAAAACATTATAAACTGTATATGAATGTGTAATGTTTAATTCGCTTCTGATAGACATTAGCTTACAGAAACGATCTCCGCTGTAAAAGCTCTTGCGCAAAATGAAATGTAGCTTCGACTTTGGTTTTGATTAATTGTGTAATAACGAATGCCCGATGGTATTTGCACACGCGTACGCATGTCTTTGTTCCCTTTCATACACGTAACGACGTTTCATATGTAACAGATATGGTACTGTAATCAGAGAGTTACTCTAGGGTTTCTCACGGGACAACAGGACATGTGTACCCATTAGTCAGGAAATATTAGTACAGTGATGTTCCCAGCTCTCAACCTTAACCGCTGTATCTGTTAATCGTCTGTTTTCTCATATATTCATCAAAATTATTTCGTGTCTAGTCGGTTTCAGTTGTCAAAGTTTATGAAAGAAATATTATATTTCAGTCACACCTATTAACAGGTGACATTCTCAGCTAATCTTTTACATCATTTCATCCTAATGATGAACATGTTCTTGATCTGTGCGGTGTAAAAGATTAACAACCCTAAGAGACCAACTCTGTATTTCTTCTTGTTTTTAAACTGCTTTGTCCGTCGCATGTGTTAGGTAATAGAGTACAGCGGTCTAAAGACCAACATAACTTTGATGTAGAGGAAACGCTGGATGTTGTTATAGGACCTGGTGTCACATTACTTTGGACTTGTGAGGATATCTTACAATATAAGCACATCGCTGTAGTTGTCTGTGTCACATAACCATGGACTTTTGTAGTATTTGAAACCTTGTATATTCTTTTAAATGCCTGTTTAACATCCTGGTGCACTTTAGAAGTTTTGAAAACTTTATAAAAGATTCTTGATGTTTACATCAGGGCATGTTATTGATAGACAAATTGTATCGTTTGTCATACGGGTTTATAATCAATTTTGATGTCATGACATAATGGTGATGGATACGCTGATAACGTGTTTGGGTGTGTTATATCCACACTGAGCTACCTTACATATATATCAGAAAAAAAAACAGATATTCTGTAGCATTGATAACAAATAAAGGCAAGTCAATAATTCATTTAAATAACAAATTTAATAATTGGAATAAAAAATATTCAAAATTCAACAAATAGAACAACACAGAATAGCACTAGTATCAATTTAGCAGCTATTCCTAGTAATGTTTGGAATAGTTTCTCCTTTATCACACGAGTCTGTCTTACAGCGTAAAGGTCTATGGAAGCACTTTGGTTTGCCCTGAGTTTGTCATTAGTTTATCTCACACATTTAGTCTCATTTTCGCACAACACATATCCCTCGAAGTTCACCAAGGCCTCCAAAGCCTTTCATTGTACACGTTAGAATCTTGGCAATCGACATGTCCCATGTTTAACAATTGCGCTTGCTTGGACATTAAAGAGTAATCCTGATTGTCTTTAGCATAAATGTTTTCCTTGTTTTTGTTTGGCGATGGTGTGTTTGACTGCTGGGAAGGCACTTGAACTGTAAACACAGGGAGAGCGGTAGTGGACGGTGAAGTATGGTTGTCATTTACTGGTCCCACGTACACAGCCACAGGGCCATTGTAAAGATTTCCTGGAAGAATTTGGAAGGAACCGGAAAGTTGTGTTTTTTTGTCCGTATTTACTGGAGCGTTAATGTTCACGAATGTGGGAGAAGACTGATTCTGCACGTTCTGAGGGGCGGTCTGATGTTGTGACACATTTCCAGGCATAAGCAGACACGTACTTTGTTTGACAGGTGAGGAAGAGTTCATGTTAAAGCTGCACGTGCTACTATTACTGCTAAAGCTGTTGTTCTGTGCGTGCTGCTGTGTAGGAATTTGAACACTAAGTGGCTGCATATTCTGATGTTGTGGCTGAGGATGGACCACCTTTGGCTGGGATACAGGTGTTATCTGTACAGGTGTAACCTGTTGTTGTTGTTGCTGCTGCTGCTGCTGCTGCTGCGACTGGACATGTCCATTAACAGATGGAACCACTCCAGATAGGTGGTTCATGATTCTTGATCGCATATCATCATTGACGCTCTGCGATGTGTTCAGGTACTTCACAACTTCTCCCGCGCATTCTTTGAATCCTGCTCGGTATTTTGACACAACATTGGGGTCTGAAGCAAGAGCTGTAGACATCTGTTGCCTCTGCAGATTTCTGAGATGTTTAACCGTCATTTCCAATATATCAGCCTTTTCTAGTTTGGAATATTGAGAGCTCTGAAAAATAGAAAATAATGAAAATAAATATATGGAACGATAATTGAATCAATGGTAGCATTATACTAATTATAGAATGAGATGGCAACCTGATAACATTAACAATGGTAACAGTTCGCTTTATATCATATATCACCAACTGTATGTAAATGTGCTAAGATGTTTTTGAATAAACGGATCCATAGTCAAACTTGTTGTTCTTTGTTCAGCAATTTCAAATCGAAATCCCATCACCCCGAACAGAGTTAACGGTCACAGGTATCACCTGTTCTTGTATATATTGTGACGTCGATCCAGTGTTCAACCGACCGTGTATTAACATATGTGCACGAGCCGAGACAACAAGATACCGCTAACTCATCCTACACTTTGTCGCCTATCGATTGTCTAAACATATCTATGTCCTATTCACCGCCCTCTTTGCACTTTAACATTAAATATAATCTTGTATGCTTATATTGATTTGTGAGTATCTATCTATTACGTGTTGAAAGATGGCATGTGTGTGATATCGATCCTAGTGATAAGTGTTCAATCAGAATTCAATAACTCCCGGGGTCTTCGTCCCCTAGTCCACTATTATATCTAATACACTATGACGAAGCACAGTATTACGTATATCATGTTACATGATTTCTGCCCCGAGCCAAAAACAATATCAGTATGACGTATTATCACTGTTGTAATGATATCGTGACACTTACATCTTTTCGCATAGCTTCTAGCACCAACGTCTTCAGCTGAGACAGACAACTGTTGATCCTTGCTCTCCTTTTCTTTTCCATTATTGGTTTGTTGCTCTGGAAAATCAAGTCAACAAATAATTAAAATAGGAATAAAATTTGAAAATAAAATTCAATTATTAAAAGAAATTAAAAACTATTACATTGATATATCAATGGCTCTTTTAATTTCTCTAAATATAACTTACCTTTCGAAGAGAAGCTTTCTTTTCCTTCGTTGTATGACCACACTCCATATTTTGTAACGACATAGTGTTGATATCAAATATAAATCCAAGTAAGGTGTTTGCGGTACGAAGATAAAATTTAAACTGCTTTGCTTCAGTCTATCCAAGGATATATAGGCCTACTCAGATGTCTAATGTCAGATCTGCTGGTATGTTTGTTGCCCTTTCCCACGGTAAAAATCCTTCACTTCCGACCAATCAAAACACACGACCGCCACAATCCACCACATGTATCCAATCAGATACCGAGATAGGTATATCGGCGCGCTTGGTCTCGTGGCTGCAAGCATTCCATTGGTTTCAGGCAGGTGGTTGGATTTGTCACGTTGCCTCGCTGTCAATCATAGTGTTTGCCATTTGTTAACTAAATAGGTCCACGTGCCACACTGATTATCTGCTGGTTTTGTGAAAGTGTGGGAAAACCCCGCCTACTTTGGTACGTCTAAATGCTTGAATGACTATGTAAACACGCATACCGATAAGCGGCCGGATTCACAAAGAGTGTATAAAATGTATCATGAAGGCCTTATCGCCAACCCGGCCTTATGTGTGCAGGAATGTCATCCATTGTACCAGCTCGTGGGAAAATGCCTCGAGACGACAGAAAAAGAATGTGATTTGGTTGAATGTTTAAAAGTGATACCAACCGCCATAGGTCAAAGTTTAAAAGAACTATCCTGTGTTAACATCTGCTTCCGTAGTACGAGACATTGTCATATTCATATTAATCAGAATCCGTGTAGGTGTATCCGTGTGTGTATTCAACTCACACGAGAGCACGTAAGGACTAGGTACGCAGGCGAATATTAATTAACATGTTTATACATGATTAGTTAATATATACATACATATGTACATATAAGATAAACGATATAGATAGAAAACTGAAGGACATCATCATTCGTACGACTTTTTAAAATTTATCTAGCGATCGTCAACACATTAACCCGTCAACGCTTATAACGATAAGAAGTTTCAAATAGGACAACAAACACAATACTTTATGGCGAAACGTTATTAATTCAACGAAAAGTTGATGTTCTAAACACATTTTTAAGTCGCCAAAATAAACATCTGTCTTTATCTCTGCATCGGCATTGATTATCATTAATTAAAGCTAGGCAAAATATAAGAATTTCATTTGTCTGGCTACTATTGATTACATGAACATAACCCAGCGTACTTTATGAACTTCAAAATTGTCATAAATATACATCGGTAGTTAAAGATAAAATGAGAAATAGAACTGATCATTTTCAGACACTTTTTGGCATCAAGCTAACTCAAGAACACTATGAGAAATTACAGCAGTGGTAACAACAGCAATAAACAGTTATCAACATTATGAATTATTTCTAACAAAAGATAAATAATTTTGGGCACTTTTGAAATTGTTACAGAGATTAAACAGTTATACACAGTATGACAATGTAGAGCTAACGGCGCCGGACCGCCCACAGGAAGTATACCACATCACTCGTCACCATCCATCAATGTGTCCCGCTGCTATTGTTGCCCACACTGGCACCGTGACCTGTAAATAACCGCCAAACATAAAAAAGTCCTCGTGGCACCATGACACAACAAACCGGATACATGATAACAGAGCCTTAGATTGATGTTCACGGCGCAGATATAATTATGAAGTAGAAGTTTTCCTTATTCTTTGACAAGTATTTGTGTTATAACGCGTATCCGAATTTATTTTAGTATTAGTTCTACAGGTTAGGCTAACAATTTTTACAATATTACGTTACCTGTTTTACCTGTAACATAACGTTGTAAGATTGTTTCATGTTTTATATCAGGGATAAAAATTAAATTATCTGATGATACAAAATGTATTTTTCATTTCGAATAACAAATTTGTTAAATGGCTATGTTGAATAAGATTCTACAGCTGCATTCACTTACAAATTATAGGGCTATGTAACATGATCGTGTAAGGGTATACATGTTCTGCTTTGGCTTATTACTAGTAGACATTCATCTCCCTACCGATTTGTCATTGTTTTAAACCTAAAACAATTCAGTTTCAGGTGCTGAATACTCGTGAGGGTGTCAGGTGTTTCTTTTGTTAGCTAAATGGTTATCTTTCGAGAACGGCGATACAGCAGAGGACGCTTACCCTTCCGAATAACCTGGTCTTGTTTTCTGTAAGCCAGTTTTTGAAATCTCCATGTGAATCTTTTGATCATTTCATGCTCTGCATTCATCGAATTTGACATTGATTTAGGATTCTAGTGAATTATGGGCATTTTCTCAAACGTCATACTTTAACGTCCTGAACACGGTTTCCGATGCTGAAGATTTCAAAAGCCTTTGTGTTTACATACCTACCAGCAAACTGTATATTTGTTTATATGCCAAACGCATTAACATTTTAAGCTTTTGGTTGCACTAAGAAATGGGAAATTTGCGAATTGTATGAAGATATTTGCATGTAAGTTGATATTACATTAGGAATGAAGCATATTTGTGTCGGGAAATGAAATGATATGAATCCGAGATTAAACCTGAAAAGTACTTCCGAGATATTTTGTTCTTAATTTTGTGATTTATTTTCTGTGTTTTCTATAGATGAAAAGTTAACAAAATTTCAATGTTTTACACAAAGTCTGTCTCTTGTTATATGTTTATCTGGGATATATATAGAATAATAATGTATCAGCTTTAAATCCACAGTAGAAATTCATATTTTGTGAAAACATTACGACAGATACACAGTAAAGAGAACATAACTCGGTCGTCATGGAAACTAGAATCATTGAGAAGACAAGAGTACTGGACATCAAATATGTTTAACGTTTTCCAATTTGCAGAAGTATATTACACATCTAGTAGAAATACAGACGTTCAACATATAAAACAGGAACGAATGTATCAAACTGTTCTTTACTTATCTGTGAAACAATGGATGGTGTGACAGTTATATATATATAGGGCTGCATTATGCGTCTAGTTTCGCTCACAACGAGCATTTCGATTTCTTTTATTCATTAAAGTTAGATTCGTATACATAAATACAGATTGACATTAAACATACAAAGATGTTTCGCAACATTAAACTTTATATGGTTCTGTGTATAACTTAGATAAAGAGGGGAGGTAACTTTCTCACGCTCGTTTCGTTCTGATCATCGAGCTGTGACTACATAGATCACCTTACATCTACATAAGGATTTATCACGCACGCGTCTTCATACAAATTACCGAGCACATCTGCTTTTAATATCCCGATATTAAAAAATCGTTCACAACATCTCTAGCAATAAATTATAGTTTCATAATAGATAAAAAGTATGAGAACATACGTACCTCTAGTTGTTCTGTACTGTATCAAAACGTTCTGATGACTTCCGCTACCTGTTATTAACCTTTGACTTATTGGATCTATATTTTAGTGTGATTATATTAAGTTATCATACTGGTATATGTAATATAAATATTTGTTTTGATTATGATTTCTACACAAAAACTCGTATAACTTTCCTAACATAAATCATCATGCCCGGGTAAAGAAAGTGTGAATATACAGCGAATTACCCATAAAATGTTAACATTCAGTATATTTTTTGTTCTATTTAACATAGTTTATCACGTTAAATTGATAATTATTTTTCTGATAATAAAAGTAACACGAGAATATCAATTGTAAATTAAATCGTTTTTAAAAATTCAAAATCGATTAAGAAGTAAGCAAATATACGGACACTCTTGAAAATGTACATGGGTGATTAGTCTAGCTGTTTAAAACCAGGATCTCCTCTTGTGTCAGTTAAACCATAAAGTATCGTATCGCAATTAACTCGAACACATTATTACAGTAGTGGTGGTAACATATAAAATTCTCAAAATGAGAGCCGTGTTAACAATGACATAACTTTAATAACAAAGTGCATTGAACATATCAAACTTACTGTCACAATAGAAAATACGCTATGAGATAATGATGGTGACTGAAAAGTATCGTTTTCATTAACCTTCCTCTGTAAACAATATGTGTTGTGAATGTGCAGTCGGATGGGCGTCTTTTATTTTCAAAACATGGTGATATTAGGAACACAAAACTGTGAATACTGAATCACAGAAAATTCACAATAAGTCGAATTTAATCATCAATCTTAACTTTATGGATAAACTTTAATCATTTTTATGATATATCGCCAGGAATGGATGGGGTCAGTTAGGATCGATGACATGAAGAATTATTGAAGTTAATTTTTATAATCTAATCAAAGATAGAAATATTTTTTGCATTGATAAGGGATTCTTTTTCTTTGTGTTTTTTTTCATAAAGGATGGTTTTTCCCCCTATATTTCGTTTTACATTGAAATATGATGTTATAATACATACGACTTAGTATAGTAACGTATCGATGAAATGCTTCATCGCAAACGCAGTATCAGTGTCAGATTGTTTATATTTTGATTCAGCGCTGTCACTGATGATAATTCTGATATTGTGACTGGAGATTTAGGGTTCAACTGAAAGGCTGATTACCAGGGTCTGTTAGACTTCTGACTGTATAAAACTATTACGGTGATATGTAATAAGTCTTATTTTAGTGATGCTGCTAACGTTTAAAAAGTTGTTTTTACTTATATCTAAATAAATTATACTAACCATCTTATATTGGTAATAGTCATACCTCTCTATATTTCAATATATCACAATACTAGCACCTTCACAATGATAAGGTCTTTCTTTTTTAGGTACAGTCTTTAGAATGTTGAAAGATCAGCATACCGACCAAGGTTTCTGAAAGAAATCCTAAATGTACGTTACAGAAACGTCATGATCTCTATTCTTATCTGATTTAAGTAATATGCACTTCTGAAAGTGTTGTCACACTGAAATCCTTCCACTCCGTAACGATACTTCTCTGAACCTAAACGTTAAGCTGAGAGCAGTAAGTAAAGACTTTCTGTCGGTAAGGAGATGATAGTTTTATTTTTCGCTTGATCAATGAGAAGACCAAAGAGAAGACTTAAAAAAAATGCACGAGAAAATAGAGAAGCAGAATGACGGAGAAAACATACCCTGCTAGTCTCTACCAAAATTGAGATTTGCTAA